CTGGTTCATAGGTCGACGCTTAACCACTGAGCCATGCCGGCCAGGCCCAGTAACACATGTTTTGATTACTGTAGGTTGGTAGTAAGTTTGAAATCAGGAAATATAAGTCCTTCAGCTTTGTTCTTTTTGAAAATAGTTTTGGCTATTTGGGTCCTTTGAGATGCCTTATGAATTTCATGATAGTTTTTTTTCCTGTTTCTGCAAAAAAGCCCCTAAAACAAAAAATAACAACAACAAGAAAACGCACACACAAACCCCCACATCTTTAGATTATTATGGATTGCATTGGTAGTACTGACATCTTAATAATAGTAAGTCTTTCAGTTCATGAACAGGGGAAGTCTTTTAATTTGTGTATGTCTTCTTTAATTCCTTTCAACAGAGTTTTGTACTTTTCAGTATATAAGTCTTTCATCCCTTTGTTAAATTAATTCCTAAATATTTTATTATTTTTATACTATTTAAGATGAAATTGTTTACCTAATTTCTTTTTTGGGTTTTTCATTGTTCGTGTATAGAAATACAACTGATTTTTGTGTGTTAAATTTATTCCTGCAATCTTGTTGAATTCACCTATTCTAACTTTTTTTTTAAATGTGGAATCCTTAGGGGTTTCTACATACAAAATCACATTTTCTGCAAAGAGAGATTTCTGCGTCTCTAATTTGCTTACCTTTATTTCTTTTTCTTGTCTAATTATTCTCACTAGAATGTCCAATGCTGTGTAGAATAGGAGGGCAAAAGTGGGGATCCTCACCTTGTTCCTAATCTTAGAGAAAAAGATCTGTCATTCACTATTGAATATGTTGTTAGTTGTGGGAAGGTTCATTTTTGTATATCCGATTTTTTTAGCACCATTTGTTGAAAAAGCTAGTCTTTGTCCATTGAATGGTTTTTTTACCTTTGTTAACATCAGTTGGTCATATTTTTATGAGTCCATTTCTAGGTTCTCTATTCAATTTCACTGATCTATGTGTCTATTCCTCTGCAAATACCACATTTTTCTGATTACTCTAGCTGTAGAAAAAGTCTTACTATTGGAAAGAGTAATTCTTCCTACCTTATTCTTCTTTGTCAAATTGTCTAGCTATTCTAGAGCCCATGCCTTTCCATATAAATGCTTCAATAAATTTGACTGGCATTTTTATAGAAATTTTAGTAAACATTTAGATAACTTTTGGGGAAATTGCTATTTTATTATACTGTCTTCTAATTCATGAACACAGTATGTCTCTCCATTTCAGGTCTTCTTTGATTTATTTAGTTGTTATCTTATAATTTTCAACATATAGATCATGTACATGTTCCATTAACTGTATACCTAAATATTTCATATTGTTTGGAGCAAATGTAAGTGGTATTGTGTTTTACATTTTATTTTCTGAATGTATAGATCTTGTATTCTACAAGCTTGCTCAATTATTAGTTTTAGGAATTATTTTTTGTATACATTTTAGCATTTTCTATGTAGACAATAATGTCATTTACAAATAGAGACAGTTTTATTTATTCCTTTTCAATCAAATATATTTTATTTGTTTTTCTTGCTTCATTGCACTGGCTAGAATTTCTAATACTATGTTGAATACGATATTGGAAACAGACATGCTAGCCTTGTTCCACATCCTAGAGGAAGAGATTCAGTCTTTCACTATTAAGTTTTATGTTAGCTGGGTTTTTTGTAGACCTTTTAAGTCAAATTTTATAATTCCTCCCTAATCTTTTCTTGCTGAGAGTTTTAAATCAGAGATGTATTAGTTTTGTCATGATTTTTTCTGCATAAATTGATATAATCCTATTTTTCTTTCTGAGTTTGTTAATATAGTAGATTATATTAACTGATTTTTAAAATATTAAACCAGCCCTATATTACTGGGGTAAACTTCACATGAGCATCATGTATAATTCTTTTTATACGTTGTAAGATTTAGTTTGGTAAATCTTTTTTGAAGATTTTTGCATCTAGGTTCAAAAGACATATTTGCCTGTAGTTTTCTCCTCTCCTACTGTGCTTGTTTAGTGTTACTATCAGGGTAATACCAGCCTCGTAAAATAAGTTAGAAAGTACTCCTTTTCTATTTTCTAGGGGAGATTGTGTAAAAGAGGCAAACTCAGGAGCTTCTGGGTGAAATCTGAAATTGGTCCCTGTACAAGGAGGGAAAGGAGAGACCAAAGAAAGATGCAGACGAATCCATTGACTGGTGTCAATGTTAATAAGCAAGGGAGCTTACATACGAGGCTTGTCTTGGGCAGTCACAAGACGCATCGATCTCTGCACACACCCTCCCGAATCTTAAAAGTGTATCTAGAGGCCTTAACTGCGTCCAGATGGTCTCAACAATACCTTACTCTTTCAAGGTTGCATCTTTGAAACTGGCTCCTACTGTGGGAACGATGGGCAGAGGGTACATTCTAAGGACAAGGTAAGGGATAAGGGGTCTCCAGTTATCCCGATCCAGCTTATGGATCAACAGGGGGTCATGTCCTCTCCATGACCTCCTCCAACAACTCCCAATTGCTGATTACAGGTTATTTTCCCATTTTAAATCTCTGAGCCATGGAGAAAGTCTATTACTTATTTAAAAATAAAGTTTTTGAATCCCTCTAACAAATCAGTCCTGTTTTGTGTGTTCAAAAGTGATATATTCAATAAATGTATTAGCATGGTAGACAAAGTAATGTATTGCCCAGATTCCTCTTAAGTGAAAGACCAGTCTCCCCAGCTGCAGGGATAAGTGCATTTGGCTGTTCTCTCCTTCAGGGATTGCCTCAGCTTCAGAGAGCTGCCTTGTCTCAAGTTCATGACATTCCAAGGCACCTCCTACAATGACTGATATTAATATAAAAAGGACTGGACAACTCAAACTATCCCGGAACAACTCTGAAGGGTCATCGTAGCTCCAGAACTCCCTGGAGGGATAGTGGCCAAGACTGTCATTGGCCTGCATCATAGCTGAACTCCTACCACTGCCCACTCTTGCTTCCTGTATGTCCTACACACAGATGTTGGTCCTTAGTTACCATCCTGCTGGTAAACTCTTAAGAAATTACATTATATAAAAAGAAAACCCTTATGACTTAGTTTAATGTGATATTTATGGAAGTAGTCTTATTACTCATTTATAATGTTTACCTTGCCTAAATCATAAGTGAATTTGAGGCAACTAACAATAATCATAGTATTTAACCAGTAGGAACAACCACACAAACATAAGCTTTATAATAGTAAAGATATTTTAAGTGATTAGAGCTCAGTATTCCAAAGCAAAATTTTAATTGATACCAATCAATCACAAATAAGCAACACCTCTATAAAATATTTTCTGGCTTTGCATTTGTGCCAGCACACATAAAAGAAAGTAAAAAATAGAAAATATTTATGCAAATAAAGGTGAGGATGATGTGGTGGTTACTTGTGTGGCTCAGAGAATAAAAGGATGGATTTAAAGACTCCTATTCCTTTAACCAGAAAACAGCATACAATGTACCAGGATATATTTTTCCTTTATATGTAGGAATATTGAGGGAGAAAAGTAATCATTTGTTTATCATATGATTCCTGTTTTCATATGACAGCTACTACATTGAGGGCACTGAGTGAATGGAAAACAAACAAGAGGGAAGTGATATATATATATTTCCATTAGTTAGAAAGCAGTTTAGAGTTACTGAGTATAACAGAGTACCAATAGATACAAACTCTTATTTTTAATCTGCTATACAGGCATGGGACCAGACACCCTATCATAACTAGTTCATGAGGGTGCTGTTTGACATCTGAGGACAGACAAGGGTGTGATTTTCTGTTCGAAGGTTGAAACTCATGACTAGTGTTGTGAATGTCTCTATTTTTCTCTCGCTTGTAACATAGACAGTGAATACTCTTGACAATTCCAGAGCCTTTGGAGCTTTGGGGGTTGGGAAGAGAGTGGATAACTGGGGGATTTAAGATGAATCCCAAGATATTGCAAATCTCAGCTCAAACATCACTCACCAGAAAGACCTGTCAACTCTTGGGACATAATCACTCTGCTCATATCAGTCTTCTTAGGTGGGCAAACCCAGTCTGAACCATTCCAAGTGCTACAGATTGATCCTTTGAAGTCTAGTTTTAGTTTTTTTCCAAGTTCCGGAAAGGCAGGGAAACAAGCCAAAGCAAATTGGTTTTGATTTGAGTAGAGGCTCAACTAGCAACTACTAATAGTTTGCTAGTCACCTACAAAGGGAGTATGGAGAGGTCAAGGAACCCATATTCCCTTAGGCCTCCGATTCCATCAGTACCCAGTTTGTGCTGGGTGCTCAGAGCCAAGCCCTACTGAGATTCCTCCCAGGGCGAGCACAGCAACCCGGGGGAGGGGGGGGGGGGCTGTTCGGGGAGGGGGGGGGGCCGGAGGGGAGGGGGAGGCGGCGGAGGGGGTGGCACCAGAGCTTGTTAGCAGCCACACCATCTGTGGGCAGGTGGGGCCTCTGTGGATGCCAGAGGGGTTTCTGGGCTGGCTGATTGAAGGATGGCTCCTGGGAGGTCACAGTGGGGGGTGCTCCAGAGTCTTGCTACTCAGCGTGGTGGCAGGACCAGGAGCACATCACACGGGAGCTAGTTGGGCTAGAATATCAGGCCCCAGGTCGGACCAACTGACATCAAACCTGCATGTTCATTCCCCGGCACATTGAAGTTTGAGAAACGCGGTTCTGGGCGGAAGAAGCGCTAAAGGATAGAGGAAACATTCTGCCTCTCAACCCCGCCCCCCTCCCACTCTGAGCTCGGCTCTGAACAAAGCTCGCCCCTGCATTAGTCCTGCACAAAATTTTCCTGCAAACCTGAGGGTGTGGGGAGGGGGGCGTGCCGGGAGGGCAGAGGATGCGTGCGATGTGGATGGGCGAAAGGAGGCTCTCTCCTGCCCCGGCTCCGCGGTGAGTAGACACTCCCCCGACCCTCCCCCGACACCTCTCCACCCCCACCCCCTGCAGCTGCTCCCGCCTGCCTCCCGCCGGCTGCCACGAAAACCCGGAATAGCTGCGTGAGCCCACGGGAAAGTCCTCCGAGGGAGCGACGCCGGGCAGCTGGGCATGCTCAGTAGCTGGGGGAGGCTTGGGTGGAGAGTAGAAAGCTTTGGGATCTGCTCCCCCCCACCTCCAACGGCCTCCCGAACCCCTTGCCCCCAGCCCGTAGTAGTTGCCCAGCGTGCGCCCGTGGACACCGGGAACATGGCGCTCCCAGCCCTGTAGCAGCCCCGTAGCAGCCCCGGCGGAGAAGGGGATGAGGTACCGCCGCTTCGCTGACAGCCAGCCGCCAGGTAGGCAGGCGCGCCCGGAGGGGCTGCCTGGGTGGATCTGGGCGCGGGGAGGGGCGCTTGCGGGGATGTGCACGGCTGGGACCGGGGGCATCTGGCTTTGCCGCGAGAGGATGCGAAGCGGACATCTGTGACAGCGCGCGATTGTGCATCTCCTAGGAGATGTCAAGGGCTGGGATCCGCTGGCGATCGGGGACCGCCCCCCGCCCCTCTCACACACACCCATGCGCTACCATCCAGACTGGGCTCTCCACGGGTCGAATAAAGGATAGTTCCTTTTTGCTGGGTGGGAGGGCGTGGAGGCGAACCCCGGATCCAGTCTTGGGAGTGCGCTGGTCCCCGGACCACTGGCAAGCCCAGTAGCAGTTCTTTGTGTATACAGCCGTGCATGCCCGCCCAGGGGTGCCACGGTGCCTGCATCTCCCAAGAAGTGTTGGACATATTGCCAGGGCAGGATTCCCTTATGGCTTTTGTCTCTTGGCAGGTGTGGACTGCAAGATGCAATAGCTGAGCCTTTATGGGGCTGTGTTTTTCTTTGTTACTCGCGTTGGAGTGTGTGTGTGCGTGGTGGGTTGTAATGGAGAGAGAGAGAGAACTTCTGCTCATGGCACGCGTGTGGGCAGAGCATGGAAGAGGACCTCGGTGCCAAACTCTTGTCAAAATTGAGTGCTCTGTGGGCCTCCTGGAGGGTAAACTTGAAAAGTCCAGAGAGGAGTGCCCAGTTTGGAGAAGCGTGTTAGCCCTTCTTGAACCCATGCGTGTATATCTGAAGCTTTAAACCTGGGGCACAAGTGAACTCAACATTAGATATCAATTAAAGGAATTTGAAGGACTGGGGCTATCAGTGGTGGGCACTTTTAGGCCAAATTAATAAAGAAAAAGAGAAGTTGACACAACGCCAGAGGAAAGTGTCATAGTTAATAGTTGCTGATAGCTTAGAAGGCTGAATGCACTTAGGGGGCAATCAGGAAACCTGACATTCCACGGGGTCTTAGGTAACTCACAGAACCTCTCAGCGCATCCTTTTCTCTTCTGGGGTCTGGTGACATGCAGACACTCTCACCTGAGTCCAGAGGGCTAGATGCTCTTCACAAGCCCCTACCACACTAGCGCCTATGAAACTGACACCCCATAATAACAGCCCTGTCCCCTTATAGTGGTATATCTGTTATATTCAGCAGTATAACCCAGAGACGGAAATCAATTTAGATTTAGAATATGCTTTTTTTTTTTTGCTTTATATAATTTAAAGGATGGCCATCTTTGACTACAAAGTTGAGAGACACTTCTCGCCATACATACAGTATTTATTTTATGGTCTCCTTAGGTAGCAAAAATGAGTCAGTATCATCAAAACGAAATGGGGAATGCTTAAGGAAAATGCCTTTAAGGAAATTAAACTCATAAATGTCCAATCTGATGATACCTTGACTTGGAATACATATGTGCAAAGCAGATGGAAACAGTACAAGTTGATGACAAGTTCATGGATGGTATTGGTCTTAGAATAAAATGTTTCTGTTCCTGTGTGAATGGGTAGAGAATGATTGTACTAGGTCCCTGCAGTTTTTCATTTTGTAAATAAAAGTGAGTTTTAATTGCAGTCATTGAAAACACAGTTTGGCACTGCCTCTCCTTCACCGTGTCAGAGTTTGCTGAACTACTGCAGGTGTGAGAGGCAGGTGTAAGGGTGTGGTTTCATCTTGCTGATGAGGCAGAGCTGAGTTTGAGCTCTGACTCTCTCGTATTTAGATTTGTGATCTGGGGCAGGCTATTTAACTTTCCCCAGCCTCAGGTTCCTCATCTGTAAAAGAAGCGTAGGGAAACTTTAGGTAAGTAAGACTTATCTAAATGTATGTGTGTGTGGTGTGTGTGTTACTCATGATATGAACCACCAAGAAAACAGTGGTGACCATTATAAGAGGAAGGGAAATGGATGTTATTTAACCTAAACTAGGTACCTTGTATCATGCTAGTCAGGTTCAAATATGCAATCTCGTTTAATCTTCCCAATTATATTAGTTTCCTAGGGCTGCCATAACAAATTACCAAAAACTAAGTGGCTTAAAACAAAAACGTATTCTCTCACTGTTCTGGAGGCTAGAAGTCCATAATTCAAGGTGCAGCCAAGGCTGTGTGCCCTCTGAAGCCCCTATGGGAGGGGCTTTCTTGCCTCTTCTAGCTTCCGATAGCCCCAGGTGTTCCCTGACTTGCACCCACATAACTCCAATCTGTGTCTTTATCTTCACATGACAGAGTTCCCCCTTTTTATAAAGATACCATTCATATTGGATTAAGGGTCCACCCTAATTCTGTAGGACCTCATCTTAACTTGATCACATCTGCAAAGATCTTGTTTTCAAATAAGATCACATTTATAGGTTCTGGTAGGACATGAATTTTGGGGGGACACTATTCAGCCCAGTATGCCAACATCCCTAAGATCTGTGTTGGATGACTACTTTAATATTAGTCAGCATAGAAGCAGAAGGTAAAGTCAGAGTCGTATGGGCTCAGGAATGACTTTAAAAGTTATTTAAAGTTTAATTTATTTGAGGTTTCATTTATCCAAACATGGTAGGGAAGAGCAGCATTCAAACATACCTCACTTATACAAATGTCACTTTCCTGGAAACCCAGACAATCCAGGATCTGAGTTTGAAAAGATACCTAAAACACCCTGTCCCAAATAGATTTATTAATGTTGCCTTCCTCTCTTTTTGCTACCCCACCAACATAATGCAAACAAACAAACCAGAAATCTAAATTAAACAGCAAAAATAACAACAGAAACAAAAATACCCCAATTTTTTTAAAAAAATATATTTTATTGTATTTTTACAGAGAGGAGGGGAGAGGAGTAGAGAGTTAGAAACATGAATGAGAGAGAAACATCCATCAGTTGCCTCCTGCACACTCCCTACTGGGGGTGTGCCCGCAACCAAGGTACATGTCCTTGACTGGAATCGAACCTGGGACTCTTCAGTCCGCAGGCTGACACTCTATCCACTGAGCCAAACAGGTTAGGGCCAAAAATACCCCAATTTTAATACCTTTCTAATCTTTCTTATCCTGGTAAATGGCACCTCTGTTCATGGAGATGCTTTAGCCAGAAACTCAAGAATCATCTTTGATACCTCCATTCCCTTTGTCTTCCACACTCAAAACCATCACACAGTCTGAAACGTTCTGTCTTTCTATTCATATCTCTGAATATATCTTGATAGATTCTTCTTTCCATCCCTACCACCACCACCATCAAACTTCAAGTCCTCATCTCTCCTCTGGATTATTTGTATAATTTTCTAACAAGACCCCTGGTTCCTTGCTTGGCCCCTCCCATACTTTATCCATTAACAGAGAGGATCATGTCACTCCCCTACACAAAATACATCCACTTTCCTGGGACAAATTCCAGAGACCCTCAGAGTCTTGGGTACTTGGCCTGCTTGGGTATCTCTTCCTCTTGCTGCTGCCTTCCTGTTCTGCTCTCTGTTTCTTGGATATCCCAGGCACTTGCCCCCTATACTTTGCAATTCAAGCTGTACTCATCCCTTGGGCCTCTTTGATCTCCCTTCCCCATAACCCAAATCTCTCATCGCCCTGCTGCTTTTCTTCCATAGCAGTTATTTTTCTATTTATTTGTTTGGCTATTTAATATCTGTAAGCTCTGTGATGGCAGTTTATTTTGTATCTTACATGTAGAAGATGTTTAATAAATGTTTGGTGAATGAGTGAAGGAATGAATACTCTTCCTCATAGCCATTTTTTTCTGGGCCATTTTAAAGATCTAATATTTTAGAAATTTTTAAATTTACTATGTTGTTTAAAAAGAGCAATTAAGAACCTCATTATGACTTCAAAAGAGGAGTATTCTTGGCTTTAACAAAAGCATCTAGTAAGAATTGGTTTTAAGTGAGCAGTTAATAATTGAGTCCAAATATTTTCTGGCAATTGAAGACTTTGTAAAAATATATCAGTCAATCAACAAATATTACAGAAATATTTTGTTGGACATTTGTATTTGCCATGGTAGGAAGAAAATGGTGAACTAGACTCTTAGCCTTTTAAAGATTAATAAGTAACAATAATTAATAATCAATAACATTATTTACTAAACTTCTGTTATATCCCAGGTTCTCACCAGTCCCTATTCCTACTTATTGCTATAGATAGCCCTCCAATGTTTTTCAACACAGAATCTAATAAGATGCACAACAAATATTTGATGAATTGATAATTAGTAGATACTATTATCCTGATATTTTAAAATAGAAAACATGTTTAACTGGGGAAAAGAGAATCTGCTCATATATATAAGGCCATGCAATTGCTTTCTGAATACATCTAAGTGGGCCCTGTTCTGTTTTAAAAGTCATCCTGCCTATTGTCTCTGGGCTTAAAATAAGAGACAGATTGCTCCTTGTATGAGAACATGTTCCTGGTGTCAAAATTCTTAGTAACCAGCTGAATTGTTTGACTTGTCCTGTTTAATCCAAGTGAGAAGTGACAATGTTTCTCATTCAGAGCTCTTTTTGGCAGTTTTGAATAGCAAGACTGAGTGCCTGAGGGCAGTGAATGTGGTTCAACACAGGAACACAGGTTACATTTGGGATTTCTAGGGTGTCCTCAATTTCATGTCATTTTATTTTTTGCATAAGAGGTGATTTTTAAAAACAAAAAAAATTGCTTAATGCATACGGTTATGTATAACTTTTTACCTAAGTAATGAAACATCAGACAGTGTGTCTTGATTTTGTTTAAAAGCGATGGATACACAATTGAATAAGTTAAAACCTAGAGAAACTAATAAGATATTTTAGTAAGGTAATGGTTATGTAATACATGTTCAAAAAACAATGGCTACCCAAAATGCCAGCATTTACCAACTAAAAAATACAATAGAAAATGGTTCTGTCCGTGAATCCACAAAAATATAAATTACCTAGGAAACATAGTAAATGTACATAAAACACTGGGGATTAATAAGAAATATCTAAAGA